TGATAGTGACACAATTATTTTGTTAAAATACTTGCAACTGAAATTTTGTTTCCTCAAACAAAAATGATCCATGAAAGGGAGCAATTTTTAGGATAATATATAAAGATTGTATGACAGAAATTAATTTGATATGCTAAATGTGACGTACTCACACATCATTTAACGTCACGATCTTACGTTTAATGATTAAGATTAATTACTGATAACAAAACTGTCATACTGATCCATTTCAATCATTAGAAAATTATCAAAATTCTTTAAAAATTATCAATAACACCTCAGAATTAAGATTATCAATCAATAAACAATAAGCAAATAGGTAAAGTACCATTGTCTTGTCATTCTCTCGTTGACTTCCTTCACGTTTCCATTTTCTTTTGCTTAATTATTGCAAAATTATTTTATCAACGATAAAATGTATGGATCATTTTTTAATGAGAGGTTAATTATGCCAATTTGAATGCATTATTTATGGCTATTTTTCATTGTAAACTTTTTAAAATCTGAAAAAATTTTTGATTTGAATTTTATAATGTATAATTTAAATATCTTTCATCCATTTTTGTCCCTTTAAATAAATTCGAACTATCTTTCACTGTAAACTTAGTATTTCAGCACTTTTCAATTTTATCAGTATTTTGATATAACTCATGTTATAAGTCAACTTAATTTATTGTGATCTTTTTTCTTTCCAAGTCATATGTTTTTCTTGTTTTTTTCCTTTTTAAACGAAGCAATTATAGAATCGGCGTAAATTGGTAGTGCGACATGAGGAACCGCAGTATTCGCAGTTGAACTGCCAAGGAGCACGTCCATTTACATTGTTTAAATCAGTTTATACAAATAACACTGATCGACCACAAGAATATTCGTTCAAAACTGAGCGCACCACGGAAAGTTTATGTTGCGTGATGCGTGAGCAAGGTTATATGATCGGTGGTGAAGCTGAATTGACACTAAAAACACCATGTTTGTTTTTTATTTTCATTAAAATTTCAAATTTTTAAAATCTGAAAAAAGTTTAAATTTTAATTTTACATTTAAATGCAATTTAAATTCGCCGCATAACTTTATGAAGATATAATAGTTTATGAAGATATAATAAGAAGGAGAATGATATATAATTTTTAATTAAAACATGATGAAATCACCCAATCTATTGAATATTTAACTTACTGACCTATTGGATATATTATGGTTTGTTGACCCCTGTCGGTATTTTTGTTTATCAGTTTGTCCGTTATTTTTTGTTCAGTGTCTGTCGGGCATTTTCGTTTCTCAGCTTCTCCAATATTTTTTTTAGCAATTTATCCTCATTTTATGCAGTTTTTCTTCTGAAATGTATGAAATGTCAACAAATTTAGTTTCAAAATGCTAACATGAAATATTTTTCATAGAATTTTAATTCATTCTTTTGCAAACTTCATAAAATTTGATATTTTATTTGCGGATGAACCTGCAGTTTTAAATTCCTAAATTCCAAGTTAAAATTATAGCTGAAATCGATTAAAAATGCTGTAAATTGTGTTAAAAAGAACGGATATGCAATTAGAAAAAAAAATAGAAATGAACGAAGCGAAAAAGTTTGAAATTTAAAAAAGTTGAAAGAGTTTAATTTTATTTACTTCATCAAAAGCTTATATTTCCTTTTCATAGCTATAAATACTCTTATCAAACAAATTTTTGTCAAAATTTTCGAAAATTTTAAAATATTAAATAATTCCGAGAGCTGTTTATGCAACGATACAAAGGTAAGAAACCCCCGCTGTTATATGAATTCATTAAGGTAATACACTCAAATAAGGATAATTAGGAAAGAGAAGATGGAGAAGAGCAGAGCAAATATTGTTGAAAATTTCTCACGAGGCTTCCTGCTGATTCGCGGAAACTGTCAACTAAAAAGATTTGGACTTCAACTATAATTGTCATCAACGATCTCTCCTTTGATGATTCCTTTTCGGAAATGTCAAAATGATGATGGTGACAATAAAGGACAAGAAATGAGGTTACCTTGTCAAGGAGAGCGTTAAAAGATAGTTCGAGAAGTTTAGGACGAGGATGAGAGAGAGAGAGAGAGAGAGAGAGAGAGAGAGAGAGAGAGAGAGAGAGAGAGGGGTAATAAATGGAAGTGAAAGAAGAAAAAAAGAAAAGAATGGAAAAGCTTACAACTTACGCAACTTTTGCATTGACCCTTACATAACGTTAAAAATGCTTTTTTATTGTGTTCAAATTAAAAACTAACGATAAATTTTTCGTTATTAACAAAACTGCAAATGGATAATGAAAGTATAAAAGGTCAAAGTTAATGACAATAACATTCCTGTAGTTGGTTTTGTAAGAAAAAATTTTGAATAGTATGGAGGATGTCGTAAGGATTTACACTAATTCAAAGCGTCTTATGGAAGAATTTACAGCAATTCAAAAATTCAGAAAGATTCGGAATTAATTGAAAGGACAGAGGATTGATAGCAATTGTATATGCTAAAATTATTCTGAGAATGATAATAATCAAAATTTGCATTTAACCATTTTCTTTCATTTTCATCTCGAAAAGACAAAAAAAAGAAGCAAAATTAAAGCCTAAAATCGATGAAATTTGATTGGTATAAGACCAAAAAACGCATTTCTCTTCCTTCTTTTTTGCAATTCTTTTTTTTTTGCCGACCCAATTTGAAAAATGGCAGTTAAATCATTATGTCTGTGATTTACGGGAATAAAAAGTGCCTGGCCTTCTCTCTTTTTGCATTTTCTCTTTTCTGGCTTTTATTGTCCCATCCATTGGCATGATGTTAAATAAGGCTTAGGCTAATATTGCTCGGTGATTGATTGGACAATAAATGGGGCTAAGATTGTATGCATGCAAATGCGTTTATTAACGCACCGAGAATTATTTTCATTTTTTTTTTCTCAGCAAATAACAAAGAAAGGAAAGAAAAAAGGAGGAAATGATGATTTGGAAAAAAAAAACGAAGCTAACAAACAGTAACAGTAATACATTCACTTATTACTGTTATTATTGTTTATTATCCTAATTTTACACGGGAATTTTTAGCATTAGCGGCTAAATGAAATAAGTAAAGAGGAGAAAACAAATGAGTTAATAATTAGTAAACAAGGTAGTAATTTTGTGAGCAAAATTTATTATCATTTAATGATAAAATGGTAATGGCATATGATTTTACAATAATTTTCAAATTCATCGCGAAGTTTTGTTCCTTTTTTTTTTTTAAAAAAAAAATTATGGCTGTGGTTAATATGAAATTACAAGTTATGCTATAAACTGTTGATAATACAATAAACAAATTTTTAATCCAACTTATTGTTTATGTGATTTTTTTTTGGAACCGTTATTAGACCGTCGTTGCGAGGGACGGGAAAAAACCACGTTTGTTGTATGGTTGGAAGAAAGCAAAAAATTGAAAGATTGTTGCATGGAATAAAAATAGCAAAATGAACCTCTGTAATGTTCTAAAATGCTAACAATTCTATATCGAAAGATATATTACATTTGATAAATGGACAGCAAATGAATTAAAAATTTTGGAAAAAAGAGAAAAAAAATTAAGTTAATTAATTTAATTTTAAAATCGATAAAAAATCATCGGTTAGTATGCTAATAATTTTAGGTGAAATAGCCGAATTGAAAGCAGGCTTTAAGCGTGAAATGAATTTCAACAATGTCAATGAAAATGCGAAATCAGAAGTGATGTCATGGTCTGTTGATAGTACCGTTGTGGTACCACCTCACTACAAAACAGAAGCTTCAATTGTTATTGAAGAAATGAATTATCATGGTACATACAGTGTTGTTTCGGTGCTGTCCGGTTTAGTGACCATATCGATCAGGAGGTTTGTTACGATTTAATTTTCACTGTAAAATCTAATTTGAATAATGATTATTAAATCCATTAAATGTAAATTTCATCTTGTTTTTATATGGAATGTCATAAAGTCTAAAAAATTTCACAAATTTCAAAAAATTAAAAAATGGAATTGATGGAAATACATGTGTAAAAAGTATATACTTTAATGGCAAAATTAAATTGAAAACTTTATTCAGATAAACGGAGAATAAAAAGACAAATTTGCAAAAGATTACTTTATTATATTTAAATTTGAAAGTTATTCAAATTTAATTTCTGACTGCTTCTGTTTTACATTCATAGGAAATATTTTAGGAGGAAAGATGGTGCTTTGGTATTACCTTTAACGATGAATATAGTCGAAATATTCCGGGATCATCTGGAATCACGACATGTCAGGAAAGAAATTAAAGCAGCTGCTATGATTGAAAATGCGCAATTTGTACGATTAATATCCAAAGGCACCTGCTCGTTTCAGGTTTTTTTTTTTAAAGTTTTCTGTCTTTTTTTTTTTTTTTTGAAATATCTTTCCCAATGTATTGATTAATTTCAATTCTTAATTAGAAAAATAAATGAATTGTGGAAATTTTTATTGTGCAAATTTTTTATTCAAATGTAATATTATATTGTGCAGTATGTGCCGTAAACAATGTAAGATGAGCATTTGTTTACTTAGTATTGATTGTAAAAAGAAAAAAAGAAAAAAAAAATGAAAGAAGTTTGATTGCCATGGAAAATTACATTTTTTTTTTTTTTTTTGATGTGAAATAATGATAGGAAGTATAGGACAATAATACTTACAGAACTGGTTCCAGTTGTGTCAACAAAATTGCCTCGCAAAAAAAAAAAAGAAAATTCACAAAATTACCCTCATTACTCGATCTTTTTTTTTTCCTTTCACTCCCGAGATTTAACGATTTAAGAATAAATAAATAACCTTGAGAAGAATGGTGACAAACATGTTGACGCATACATTATAAATGGTCTGGGAAAAAGACTAAGGTATAGGAAGAAATGAGAGAATGAAGCATAAATTTTAAAAATGTTTTTTATTTTAGCTTGAAAAAAAATCAAAAAAAAAAGCAAATTGACAGAAATTTTTTATAGTTTTAATTTTTTACCGTCACAATTTTAAATTTTATTATTAGTAAAATTATTTAAAAAAGAAAAATTAAAACGAGCTAAAATACTGATTAAAGTTTAGTTTTTTCTCTTCTCGTTTTTCTTTCCTTTTTCTTCCCATTTTTTAAGTTTTATAACGGTCGGATTTATTCATGACTTAAATGCTATTGATATTTAAAATTAACACTTCTTTATTTGTAACAAAATTTTCTATATAAAAATTTGTTCAGTAATTTTTAATTCCTTGACAATATATAAAAAATTTGAAGCAAAATATGAATTAAATTTCCAAAAAATATGCCGAGAAAATTTTCCAAAAAGAATAGACTAAAAAATTATCAAAAATGGAAAATGGAATTTTGAAATATTGCTTTTCTTCCCGAAACACTATTATTTACAAGCTCAAAAATAGGCAATTCATAATACTTATTCTAAGATTTTAATTATTCCTGAGATAATTAGGGGGTAATAAATATGATGTACACGAAATACCTGTAATTAATCATGTGGGATGCCGTGACATGCATCGCTAACACTCGTAACATTTTATTGGAATGTTTTGTTGTTGTTTACAGCAATTTATATTCACAACTGATATGTTCCAGATAGGGAATGAAAATTAGAACTTAAAATTTTTGCAAATCTATAAACTATGAACTTTCATTTTACTTTTTCAATGCAAATGAAATTTTAGAAGAAAGAGAAATTTCACGATGAATCAAAAATTTTCAACTGTTGTAACTAATTTTTTTAATGCAATATTCTTTTTCTTTTTTAGTTTTCTCGTTAAACTCATGTCAGCTTAATGCTAACACTCTTTCGGCGTTTTACTTTCCATAATTGAAATATTAAATAAATAATTAATAAATAATTGGAGTGACTTTTTTGTGTATTTTTTTCCGAGTTTTCTTTTTTTAAATGAATAATTTAGCAATTGAAAATAAATTGGATTTATATTTTTCTTCCGAATTTTGATTTTCTTCTAATGCAATAAATAATTTGAGAAACATAGAATAAAATGCAAAACTGAACATTTTATCAAACAAATTTTTGAGTTAAATTTCAGTTTGCGCTGAAGCAGCGAATCGATCTCAAAGAAGAACCATTTGGTGATAAAGAGAAAATGATGGTTGATTAAAAAAAAAAGAAGAAAAAATCGTCAAATTTTCACTGTTCCATTTTTTCTTATTTGTTACTTTTACTTACTTCTCTCATTTACCACAATACGTACATTTTTTAATGTGAAAACAAAAATTATTTTGAAAATTTGTTAAAAAGTCGGAATTTTTTAACAGTGTAATGCATTGATTTTTTCCATTTCTTTTTTTTTTTTTGTTGTATATACACGAGACGAGAAGTATTTCATTTCATGAATTTTGATAATTTTTGGAGATTTCCCAGAATCATATTCACGAGAATTATTCGAATTGCTTACTGATTAGAAGAAGCTTTACAATCATCGAATAGCTCAGTGCAACAATTCGTCAATTGATTAATCGTTAAGTTGTTCGAAAAGTTTAATCTTTTGTTTGTCAATGAAGCTCTGATGATGATGATAATAATAATGATAATAATAATAATAATAATAATGATAATGATGATGATGATCCTGATGATGTTTGTGATGATGATGGTGAATTGGACGGGAAATATCGGGTGAAATGATGATTATGAACCATAAAAAAAAAAAAAAACAGCAACAGGTTCAAAAGGATAAAATACCGCATTCCTCTGAGATTACCTGTGCTGAGGTGAGAACAACGAAATTTCTCAATGATTCGATTTTTTGCTATACGTAATGTATTGAACTGTTTAAATGAAATTATGTAAAAAGAAAAAAAAGCCATTTTGTTTTTTTTTTGTGACGGTTTTCATGAAATCCGCATAATTTCTCATCCGAAAGAAATGGATGAAATTTTAAAATTTTCATAATTTTATCTTTAAATATATTTCAGAAATTATTAAATAAAAATGAGAATTTTCAAGTGAATGTTTCAGAAAATGGATGAGCAAAAATAGTTGCTTAGCAAAAAGTTGCCGAATAGTTAAATTCAGATAACGTCTTCATTGTTAAATATAACAGAGAATGATAGTTAAACAATAACTGACCCGAAAATTCAAAGATTATTTGATGTGCCGAATTTTCATTAGAAATCAACTAATCCAAGGATTTCATAGTAGTTCACTATGGAAATATACTGGTTTCTTACTAAAATTTTAAAAAATATCAATTGAATTCGAGTATTTTAAAAAATATCAATTGAATTCGAATATTCCAGTAATACATGCCACGTTATCCAGTTTGTACTTGAACATTTGTATCCATGAAATGATTACAGAAATGCATTGTAGGGGAAATTTCATTGTGATTGATTTAAATTAGCTATTTAAGCATAAATTTAATCAAATGCTTTATGCTACTTAAATTTCGGTTAAATACATGAACAATATATGCCGATTAAATACATATTACTTAAATACATATGCAATATAATTGGTTATAAAAATTTCTGACCAAAATAAACGAAACAAAAGACGGATGAAATTGCAGTCTCGAAATTTACAACAGAGGAAAACGACCAAAGGCAAATAAAAGGATATGAAAATATATAAAATCTAAAATAATACTTGAAAGAAAAATTAAATTTTTAAATGGGCAATGGATGAAATTTTCCATGAAATTTTTACTTTTAAAATATCCTCAATCTATTAGTACTTTCTTCCTCTCAACTCTCCATCAAATCATTAATATATCACAAATGAATTAAACAAATTTGCATAAATGAAGAAAAGAAAAAGACAGATTATGAGAAAATAGAGGTATAAAATATATTACATTTATAATAAATTGAAATAAAAATAATTCGATTTAATTTTTGCATGTTAGTTTGATAATTGGAGTTTTTGTCGTTCTTTTTTTGAGAAATTTAAAAATTCTTACATATTCTTTCGTTATCATTATCACTGATACCCATATCACATCGTTTACATGGTATTTTCTTCCTCATTTTGAAGCTGATCAAATTGAACAATTCGTTGATTGCTTAAATGCAATCGTCGTTTTCGTCTCCATAATTGTATGCCGCCGATCATACTTATTACTATGATGGATATTAGACAGATTTTACCCATCATATTAATTGCACTTATCGATTGTGATGGTGACATTGGTAACACTGCAAAAAATAGGTTAGCTCTTTTTATCATTGTTTTCACAGGTTGAAGAATTCCAAAATTGACAGCTTATTAATTACTGATAGCAATTATAGAATAGAAATGGAACTTATTAATTGCAAGCATTAATTAGTGAATAAATGTAAAATAGAAATGAATAATTTATTGGTTGCTGACAATGATTGCAAAATGAATTGATAGAGATCGGAAATGGAAAACTTATTAATTATTGATAATAAGTGAACGATAACCTGAGAAGGAATGGAGATGGAAAATTAAAATTATTGCATGAATTATAATGGAATAATGCATACAATAAGTTAAAACAAAAGTTCTAAATTTCCACTCCACTACAATTCATACCGCAATTATTATCAATAATTAAAATGAATGAATAAATATGATTGAATGAAATTTTTAAGTAGCAAGTAGAAAACCGATATAATAGTTACTTTAGTCCCAAGAATTAGCATTAATTAATTCTAAACCAATCTGTTTCAGATTTAGCTTTTGTTATGTTAAAATTATATATTATATCATTTTTTTACACTATGGCTTTCATTTTAACTGATTTAAGAAAAATCTAGAACAGACTAAATTAAACTAAATTTACGTTCTATTAAAATACCTTAGCTCATTTATCACTTATTTAATTTCTTCATTTCATTACTTCTTTTTCCGATAAGCTAAAATCAAAGGGCCTTAACTTTGATATTTCCGAGTGATTTATTGATGAATTTTTTCCTTCACAAAGATTAAAAAAAGTTTTTAAAATGTAGCACTTACGACTTTGATTGTTAGCGCTTGTCTTGATATCGTGATTATCATTATCATCGAGTAATTTCCTCCTATCTTTCCTTTCACTATTATTTGATAAATGTGATGACGAAAAAATTTCATTTTTATCATTTTCTTCTAAAAAATAGAATCAAAATTAAATTTGAACTAATCCCCGTAGATTTTTTTGTCATTTTTAACCAAAGGAAAACTTCTCATAATACATTAAAATAATTTACAAACAAATAGAATTGAAATTTGAAGCTTAAAGTTTGTAAATCAAAAAGTGATGAAACTTTTGAAAAAAAAACCGACTAATTAAAATTAAATTAAATAATTCGATATTTAGCCACTAAAATAAGCTATTATTATGATAAATGTAAATTTTTTTCGCAATATTTAAATTATTTATAATCAAATACGAGAAAATTTTGAAATTAAAATTTCAGAACAAAAATTCAATATTTATGATGCTTACTTGTGGGCGGATAGTGGAATACATTAACAACCGGCGTTGAACATAAAAAATGAGTACTTTGCCAACAACTAATGCTATGCCAGGTGTAGTTACCAGTAAGTTGCATTTTAACACATTGCTGTACTATTCGACCTTTTGCATCTGCCGGTTCATCTTCCGCCCAATTCAGGAATGTTACCGGTGATAAATCCTTCCAAGCATATGAACCTTCAAAAATTAATTCTTTTTTTTTTACGAATATTTATTGACTTCTACCTTACCTGAGATTATTATAATTATCTATAATGCTCTTATAATCTAATGATCACCGTCATTAAAAATTATTATTATCAACAAATTATCACAATTTTTATTACAATTCGCTTTTTTTTCACTAATTTTATTGTAATTATGCTTATCATGAATAATTGTGCCTCTCATTAATTATGCTTATCATCCACATTTGCTATCATTTACTGATATCATTGACAATCGTTGAAAAATTCAAAACGACAATTTACCATGCTGTTGTCGGATGAGTCCAATTAAAGCGTTTGATACAGATAGCTCATTATGCAATATGTAACTTTTAAATAATTCAAAATCTTTTTTTGTTTCAAAACTAGCCAAGCTTGCGTTGAAATACTGAAATCAATCAATTAGAATTAATAACTTAATGGAATTAACGATCGAAAACAATACTATCTACAAAATGAGTAATTCTTAAAAAATGACTAACTTTTATACTTTTCGCAATAACTTTAATAGCTTATAACTTTATGCTTATGTAATGCATATGCATAAGAAGTACCTATTCCTTCAACGAATTTAAGTAATTGAAATTGATAACTCATACAATTTAACTATGCTCGATCATTAGTAGATCGATGGAACACATCGTTCGATCATTTCTAATATTTCTCAACAAAAAACATGACTTTTTTCATGTTTACATTATTTATTATTAATTCGTTTAAATCTATAAATAATTACGAATGATATGATGTTATTTAAAAGTAATAATTAAAAATCAATAGAAACTATGTTTCCAAAAATAAATGATAAATAATTACAGCTGATAATTTGATACATATTATCCGAATGGAACAGTCAAAAATTGTCAAAAATTAAAATTAAGAACTAATAAGTAATGTTACTTTTAAATGGATATATGCATACACTGTAACTTATAATTCATTCATTTAAATACATCAGTTTGTATTAAATATATTTTCATTTCAATAATTTCCATAATTTTCAAAAAATAGAGGAAATTATGCGGAAGATTATGCAAATTAATTATAATCATATTGCAATAGAAAATGCTTAAATGATTTCATTTAAACAAAAATATTTTATTCCGAAATATACCATACGGTTTATCACTTTTGGTTTATTTTTTCATTGAAACGGTATAATTGTGATTTGAGATGGCGATGAATATCGATCCACCCGATGTAACATTTCAAGCTTCTGGTGGCAATACTACCGTCAATATCATTAATCAATCCGAAACCAGATTAGGCTTTAAAGTTCGTTTCCTTTTTTTTCTTTTATAATTTGAAAAAAAAAAAACCAAAAAAAAAACGGAAAAAAGTTTTTATCGGAAAAAACGCTTTTATCGAATTAATTTTATGTTTTTATATATTTAGAGAAATTTTTTTCTGAAAAAGAAGCAAATTTTAAATTAATTCATTTTTTATAAAAACGCTCTTATCGAATTTTTTTATTCTCGTATATTTAAAGAAATTTTTTTTTCTGAAAAAGAAGCGAATTTTAAATTAACTCCTTTTTTTTTATAACTATCTATTTTGAAAATTGTGCATAAGTAATCTTTGATTTTAATTAACAATTTCCTCTCATCACTTGTTATTAGCATTAGCGATAAGGATGGGAGAGGATTGGAAAGGCGGTTAATTTTGATCAAATTTCAGGTGAAATCAACCAACAACGATCATTACCGTGTCGCACCAGTGTATGGTTTTGTTTCTAAAGGTGATAAAACGGAATTAGCAATCATTCGCCTGGAAGGACCACCTAAGGAGGATAAGTTTGTAATTCAATGGGCTGAGGTACCGGATGAAGAGGATGACCCTCAGGCACCATTTAAAGCTGGTGCGCAAGCAGGTGAAGTGATCCTGCCTGTTAAAGCTGAATGATTTGTATATGTCATTGAGACTTCATTATCAATAACAATCTTATATAAATGAAATTTGCATAAAGTGCTTCAATTTATATGACTCATATAACGAAAGTAAAAATATTTAAATTAAATGAATTGTCATTTTTTTTGTTAAACAAAAACAAACAACACAAAATTTAAATAAATAATTTCGATAAAATCATAAAGCAAAGAATTTTTTTTTTTTGCAGAAAATGTTTGATAGTTAATTTTGGTTATTTTTTAGTCACATATTACATATAATTTCCAATTAATCAACGAATGCTTAATCTTTCATACTTACTTTCTTTCATACTTACCGTAAAACAGTCATGCCTTCTTTCATACTTACCTTAAAACAGTCATGATCGGCTTTGAAACCTGAACTGAACATTGATGCATTACTAACTAAATAATAGCAATGTGTCTCGCCAAGAATCCAATCTTCTTTCCCATCTGGACAACGTACTGTTTGTGGTACCATACTCATCGGTTCCTCTAAAATATAATATTAGAAAGATTTGTGATGTTATATGAATGTAACATATAATTATGAATTGGAAAAAATTCGAACTTAAAGTAATTATTTAAACAATGATTGGATAATTAAAAAACCAAATCGGAAGTGTTTGTTTCTTATCCTCCGATGTTAATTTATACGATAAGTGAAGTATTATCACCAATTTCTGTGATAATTAACATATCTACACGTTCCTACAATAATTAAACATAATTTACACGACGAAAACATGCGAGCAACTACTCCCAATTATCATCAATTAACATTCAAAAAATGAACAAATAGTTAGATAGATTTTGTAATTAATTATAGTGTTGATAAATTTTGTTTAAACTGTTCTTCTTCAATTTAACGTGAAAAAAAAATTTTTTGCCAAAAATAATTTTAGAAAAAAAGAGCATAAACGTTTCATTTGAAGCAAATTTTTACCGCTTGTAAGCCGACAAACAAGCGGTTTACGTTTCATGCAGTCATCGATGAACCATGCAGGACCATTTTTACCAATTCTCAATGCAACACACTCACCATTCCTTAAATTTGGCTCACCAATATCCCACGGTGCCAGACGTAATCGCAGTTTATCAATTCTTTCAAATCTGAAGCATGGAAAAAAATTTTTCGCCGAAATCACACTATCATTACAAGATATAGCAGAAAAATCTTTATTTAACAATTTCACGACAAATTATAATAAGTCATAGTTAATAATATTATAATAATGATAA